GAAAGGACCGTTTTGGCAGCCACGGATGTTCCAGTCCTCGCCCAACTTCCAACCCTCCAGGCAACGGAGTTCTCGCGCCGCGCGGGTTTCTTCCGATCCCGCCTCCTCCTCCTCCTCCTCCTCCTCCTCCTCCCCCTCCTAGGCCCTGGCCCAGGACAGGCTTGCAGCGGCCTCTTGCTTCTCGTCCCCCGCAGGACACACCCTCGCCTGCGTGCTGCTCCCACCCACCGATGTGGGCCTCTCTCCTTCAGACTGTGTTGTACAACCCTCTTTCCATGACCGACTCATGGCGTGCGTTTGCCATTTCCTCTCGCTTCAGTTTTGCCGACATCGTGATGCTCCCAGGTACCCAGAAGAAGCGCCGCCCAGGAGATGGCACGACCATCCGCAAGTGCGGCAAGCATTGGGAGATCGAGTACGGGTGGCAGAAGGGCCGCCTGACGAACAAGAGTGCGGGATGTTCTCTCCTGCTACGTTGCCGTGCCTTCCGATGTTCTCATATCCATCGGATCTATGAACCCCCGACCGCCGTCGCTGGAAGGGCAGGAGGTGTCAGATTGCGTTCGTCTACATTCGACATTGCCGCCTTCGTCCTTTACTATCCACCGCAATAACGACATCAAGTCGACCACTGGAAGACTACAGTGACTCGCCTCACCGAATGGCTCCACGCCACAATCCAGCAGCTCCCGCGTCGTTGTCTTGTGATTGTCGGGACGGACGCCAACTGTGAGTTCGGCAAGACCTCCAGTGGAAATGGATCATACCAGTACACGGCCGACGGTATCCATGTGGGATCACACAACACGGCGGCCGAGAATTTCGCATCAGCGGAATGGTGGCGCCTACTTCATATGGAAGGACTGACAGTGGTCGACTCACACTTCCCGACATGGCCAACCTATTTTGGGCAAGAGGCAGGCCACCGCTCGCATCCCGACCACTTCTTCGCCCCACGGGATACCATAGACGCGACGCTCTCCTGCTGCTCACTCATGGGGGCTACGCGCGACCTGCAGCTCATCCCACACGCCGACCCGAAGGATCACGCCCCCATGCTTTGGCGCCTTCGGTACCGCCTCCACTACCATGACGACCACGACGGGGACCCGACCTGGGACTACGACCGACTAGCGGGATTGGCAGCACCGCGGGGGGATCACGACCTCATTGGGGAACTGGAACGCCTCTGCGAGAACGCAGCTGCCGTGTGGCGCAGCACATCTCGGCAGGACGACCCCTCCGAGGCGTGGCAGTCTCTAGTCTGCGATGTGCGGGAGGCCGCCTTGCCCCTTTTCCAGCGCGGTGCACTACCTGCCCCTACCACCGAGCACGCCCGACAAAGGCAGGAACTCCTCGAACGCCGACGCAACCTCAGCAGGCAGTGCAGGTCAGAGACCGACAGGCTCGCCATCAGGGCCTGCGACCGCGAGATCAAGCGCACCAAACGCCGACTGGACGCCCAGCACGTCGAGCAGTTGCTTCGGGACGCCACCAAAGCTGCGGAGCGTGGACACACCACGACGGTCTGGAAGCTGGCTTACCAGATCGGCGGCCGATACCACGGCGTGAAGAATCGACGCTTCAATACGATACCTCACTACCTCCCCGCCCTAGGCGAGTGGACGACGACGCAACTGGCTGGTGCGGCGGAAGGAGGCTTCTCGGCAGTGCAGGTCCCTGAGCCCGAATTCCTAGCGGAGATCGCCTTGGCGCTGCAAGAGCAGAACGACCCAGACGGCACCTGCAAGGAACTACGCGGACATCCTGCAGCGACTGCCCACGACGACTGGACTGACACGCTGAGGTGTCTCCGACACGCGGCCCGCAGGCGCTGCGCCCCGCCCCGCTCCGCGCCCGCAGAGCTCTGGCGCGCCATCCTCAGGGCGGCCAGCATCGAGGCGCGAGGTGACCCGACTGGCGTCCCCGATGTCAGCGACCGACCTGCACGGCCACGACGAGTGCCGCACGTACATTGCCCGCGCCTGGCGGAGCGCTTGGGGGCCCTCTTTCGTCAGATCCGCACCGCCTGCCGCGCGCCGTCCCGGTGGCACTGGTCGAGGACGTTTCAACTTCCCAAAGGCATTGGCAAGGTGGGGACCCGGGCGATGCGACTGATCCACTGCCACTGCCCCTTCGGCAAGGCCTGGTGCCGCGGGATTTTCACCAGGCACCGCCGCCCGCCGCTTCCTCCTCACTCTCATGGGCACGCCCGTCATCGATCGAGGCAGGGCGCACAGCTGGCCTCCAAGCGTCATGCTTGGAGGCTTCGCCGTCTTCGCGCCAACCACCTTCAGCCCAAAAGGGACATGGCCAACGCCTTTCCCTCCGCGCCCCGCGACGTCTTGGAAGAGGTGGTGGGCCAGATCGTCAGCGCCGCGCCGAGGCGGTCATGGCTGTGCGAGCGGGTGACGCTCGAGGCTTCTACGTGCCCAGGCATGGCGCAGGCGTGGGCGATGGCAGCGCCTGTGAACTTTTCGCCCGATCATTTGTGCGACCTTTGGAGGATTGGAACCGTGAGCTCCTCATCAACAGCGCGGACTCCTTCCACCTCGAGGACGGCTCCGCAGCTCCGCTGATGGGGGCCGCCACCCTCATCTCCTGCCCGTGCTCGGGGCAGCTCGTGGATTTGTCTCTACGTGATTATGCCGATGACGTCTCGCAGACGCTACCAGTGCCAGATAACAACCCTTTTCGTGCCGCGGAGGTGGCCAAGCAGTCCTCCGACCTTTTGGCGGCCAAGCTCAGAGCCCAAGGCGGCTTCACACATAATGCATCCAAGGAGCTCGTCCTGCCTGTCTTCGTGGGCCCTGGAGGGTACACGGCCACCCGTGTCGCCCTTTCGGGATTTGTTTCTTTTCCTGGGCAGCCCAAGGCCCAGGCGGCCTACCCGGAGGTCTGGAGCAGCTCACTGGAGGCGCGGGGGCGGAGGTTCGAGTCAGGATTGATGCGACAAGATCAGCTTGGTGCAAACTGGGTCGTTTCTGGAAGCAACACGTCTCGCTCAGGCTAAAAAGGATGGCCTTCTTGGGTGTTCTGCAGAGCGCGGCCTACGCGGGCCTGGAGACCTACCTTCTGGCCAAACGGGGCTACGCCAAATTGGATGCCGTTCTCTTGGGTTCGCGAAGGTCGCTCTTCGGGGAGTTGCTAGACGTACAGATGTCGATGGGGTAGAGCAGATTCGAGTTCCACACGCCTGGCAGGTCCACAAGCGCCTGCGCATCGCCGACGCTCGCACCGAGCTCCTCGTACGCAGGCTGAGGTACTGGCAACAACTCGCCAAGTACCCCGAGTCTTCTGTGCAAGCGGTCGCCGCGCTGCTTGGGAACTTTGAGGC